TTCTAAGCATTGGTCCACTACTCCCATTTTTCCTTTCTTTCTTTCAAATTTCTTCTCCCATAAATGACATCTCTCCCTGAACCCACCCACCACTATCCCATACTTCACTTTGCTCCCAGAAGGAAGCTTCAAAGACAGCATGCATTGAGGTACATTTCTGAGTGCTGGTCCCTGTGTCAAAAAGTTAGATCTCTCCAATTTTCTTTTCATTGCTACCTCCACTTCTTCAAGGCCCTGATGTAGATTACGACACAGAGTCAGGGAGAGAACCTGAGGATTAAAAGCAGTTTCTCCCAGTGTTTTGTAGGATATCCAAGTCCCCACTTCCCAACTTGAGGTCAACCTTAAGCTAAAGAATCAATTCTGGCCGGCACCGCGGCTCAATAGGCTAATCCTCCGGGACAAAAGGTGACAGAAGAAGTGAGGTAGGGAACTATTACAAGAGATTTAAAAAGTGTTGGAGGCCAAGGCGCGGCTTACTAGGCTAATCCTCCGCCTGCGGCGCTGGCACCCCGGGTTCTAGTCCCAGTCGGGGTGCCAGATTCTGTCCCGGTTGCCCCTCTTCCAGGCCAGCCCTCTGCTGTGGCCAGGGAGTGCAGTGGAGGATAGCCCAAGTGCTTGGGCCCTGCACCCCATGGGAGACCAGGAGAAGTACCTGGCTCCTGCCATCAGATCAGCGCAGTGTGCAGGCCGCAGTGCTCTGGCTGCGGCGGCCATTGGAGGGTGAACCAACATTAAAAGGAAGACCTTTCTCTATTTCTCTCACTGTCTAACTCTGCCTGTCCAAAAAAAAAAAAAAAAAAAAAAAAAAAAGAAAGAAATCTATCTTTTTTTTTTTAACTTTTATTTAATGAATATAAATTTCCAAAGTACGATTTATGGATTACAATGGCTTCCCCCACATACCGTCCCTCCCACCCACTACCCTCCCCTTTCCCACTCCCTCTCCCCTTCCATTCACATCAAGATTCATTTTCGATTATCTTAATATACAGAAGATCAGCTTAGTATACATTAAGTAAGGATTTCAACAGTTTGCTCACACAAAAACAAAAAGTGAAAAATAATAGATGATTTTTTTAAAATGATGATGAAATCAGATCAGACCTATTGTCATGTTTAATCCCAGTGAGAGTCAAGTTGGGAGTTGACAATTTCTTTTTTTTTCTTTTTTTTTTTTTTTACAGAGGATCAGTTTAGTATACATTAGGTAAGGATTTCAACAGTTTGCACCCCCATAAAAACACAAAGTGAAATATACTGTTTGAGTACTCGTTATAGCATTAAATCTCAATACACAGCACATTAAGGACAGAGATCCTACATGAGGAGTAAGTGCACAGTGACTCCTGTTGTTGACTTTACCAATTGACACTCCTGTCTATGGCATCAGTAGTCTCCCTATGCTCCGGTCATGAGTTTCCAAGGCTATGGAAGCCCTCTGAGTTCTCCGATTCTTATCTTGTTTAGACAAGCTCATAGTCAAAGTGGAGGTTCTCTCCTCCCTTCAGAGAAAGGTACCTCCTTCTTTGAAGACCTGTTCTTTCCACTGGGATCTCACTTGCAGAGATCTTTTGCCAGAGTGTCTTGGCTTTCCATGCCTGAAATACTCTCATGGGCTTTTCAGCCAGATCCGAATGCCTTTAGGGCTGATTCTGAGGCCAGAGTGCTATTTAGGACATCTGCCATTCTATGAGTCTGCTGAGTATCTCGCTTCCCATGTTGGATCACTCTCCCCTTTATTTATTCCATCGGTTAGTGTTAGCAGGTACTAGACTTGTTTATGTGCTCCCTTTGACTCTTAGTCCAGAAATCTATCTTTAAATGAGATGTGAGCGCTCTTTTAAACATTTTTAATTGGCTCATATGTCCAATGAAAACTGTTTTCTAACTGATCCAGTAGACAATTATTGAAAAGCTATGAAAATTATGGACTGCCCTCATCAACAGGAATATAGAACATAGCATACAAAAAGTCAGTCCTCAGTTCTATTTTTCATTTTTATGGATGTCAGCAATGAGAAGCCTCTTTCATGTACATGAATAGGTTGGAATAAAAGAAGTTCTTGAAATATAAGTTTTACACCATTCTCAAGCCCCTTCTTAGTTATGTGCAAAAAATGTAGATATCTGTCCCCCAAAATTACTAGTGAGTCTCATACTTGAAACTCAGACTCTTCAACTTGATTGGAAATGAGAAATTAGAAATCACATCATTTGAAAAGTATTTATCATTTGATAAATATATAGAGCATTAATTTCCTTGTCTTCTTTGACTTATAATGAAAATACTTTTCTAAAACTTGTGAGTGATTATTAATTGTATTTTTTCTCTTTCTTTACAGATGTCTTGTTTAATTTAAAATACACAGGGAACAATGGGCAAAATAAAAATTCTTCAACCTGCTTGGCAGTCTTCATATGAAGCTCCTTTGGGTCACCATCTGTTTCTCTGGCCATGGGTGCTGTCTAGTGGAGTCTGTGGGCACTGTCCAGAGAAGGCTGTGGGTAGGTACCATAGCCATGTCATTCATGTTTTCTTCCCTGCTGGATCTCAGGGTTAATTGTAGGAGTGAGATCACTCCACCTTGTGATAAATCCAGGAGACATGCTGGCTTTCAGTCCTTGATGCTGAGAGCTTCCACAGTAGGTGGACTTACCAAATATATCACTCAATTTTAATTCCTGGGTGAGTCTTTCCTAGGCAAACTTATAGCTATTTCTACAGAAATTTTTGCTTTATGTGTGTGTGTGTGTGTGTGTGCTAATTTTTGTGTTTATTTGATCAATATCTGGGTTGATTCCATTTCTTAACTATTGTGAATTGAGCTGAAATGAACAGTACAGATAACTCTTTCAGATGCTGATTTAATTTTCCTTGGATAAATTCCCAGGAGTGGGATCGCTGGGTCGAATGGTAGATCTGCCTTCAGATTTCTGAGGCATCTCCATATTGTCTTCCACAAAGACTGTACCAGTTCACATTCCAACAAACAGTGGATTAGGTTACCTCTCCCTGCACATCCTCACCAGCATTTGTTGTTTGCTGATCTCTATATGAGAGCCATTGTAACTGGGGTGAAGTGAGACCTCCTTGTTATTTTTATTTGCATTTCCCTGGTAGCTGGTGATCCTGAGCATTTTTCATGTGTCTGTTGGCCATCTGAATTTCCTCTTTTGAAAAATTCCCATGTGTGTGTGCGAACTGTTGAAATCTTTACTTAGAATAGAGTTGGTCTTCTGTATATAAAGTTAATTAAAAATAAATTTTAATGAAGAATGGAATGGGAGAGGGAGTAGGTGGTGGGATGGGAGTGAGGATGGGAGGGTGGGTATGGGGGGAAAAACAACCGTCTTCCTAAAGTTATACCTATGAAAATTGTATTCATTAAATAAAAAGTTTAAAATAAAAAAAGAAAAATGCTCATTCAAGTTCTTTGCCCACTTCTTAACTGGATTGTTTATTTTGTTGTTTTGTTGTTTTGTTGTTGAGATTCTTGAGCATTTTATAGATTCTGGATACTAATTCTTCATCAGTTGCATAGTTTGCAAATATTTTCTCCCATTCTGCCTGTTGCCTCTTCACTTTGTTGAGTGTTTCTTTTGCAGTGAAGAAGCTATTCAGCTTTATTTAATACTATTTGTCAATTTTGGCTTTGATTGCCTCTGCTTCTGGTGTATCTTCCAAGAAGCCTTTGCCTATGCTAAAGTTGCAGAGTTTCCCAAATGTTCTCTAGTAATTTGATGGTATTCAGTAGTATATTTAGGTCTTTGATCCATTTTGAGTGGATTTTTATGCAATTTCCTGTGTATTTATAATCATTTCAATATAAAAATTTAAAACCATCATCATTCCTATTTATTCATTCTGATGAACTTAATTCAATGTAGTTCATTTAGCATTCTGAATTATTCCTAGGTAGTTGAAATATAAAAGTCAAGTTCACATAAACCTATGACCTTCCCATGGGTGACTACCTTCAGTAGGAGAAGGAATTATTAAAAACATTTATCAAAAAGATGTTGTAAAAATTCTGATAATTGCCTTTGACAGTCATTTGACTAGGGTTCCTTATTACACAACTTTTTAAGCTTTCATCATAATGATTTGAAGGCTGGATGATAATTATTGATACTTTACCTGAGCATAATGTACACTAATACAGTGTTACATATAGCCCAGAAAATGTGCCAGGCAATTTATGACCAATCTTCATAACAACACTTTGGGCTATCCCCATTTAAAGGTGAGGAGATTGAGGCATGAAGAGGTTAGGACAGTGAGCTGAAGACCACATGGTTGGCATGGGCTGGAGTTAACAAATCACGGTATGCAGTGGGTTCCATTGGCTGTGATCTTATTCTTTACAAGATGTTTAATATTTAGAGGCTGGCATTGTGGCCCAGTGGGCCGAGCCCCTGCCTGTGAAAACAGCATCCCTTATGAGAGCTGATGTGCATCCTGGCTGCTCCACTTCTGATCCAGATCCCTACTAATGCTCCTGAGAGGGCAGCAGAGGATGTCCCAAGTACTTGGGTCCCTGAAACCCACATGAGAATGGCTTCTGTCTGCATCAGCCCAGGCCCTTGGGCCATTTGGGGCATGAACTAGCAGCTGGAAGATTTCTTTCTCTGTTTCTCCTTCTCTCTGCATAACTCTGCTTTTCAATTAAATGATGTAAATCTTAAAACAAAGATGGTTGGAATTTCAAAAAGACATAAACACTTTTTTTTTGACAGGCAGAGTGGACTGTGAGAGAGAGAGACAGAGAGAAAGGTCTTCCTTTGCCGTTGGTTCACCCCCCAATGGCTGCTGTGGCTGGCGTGCTGCGGCCGGCGCACCGTGCTGATCCGAAGCCAGGAGCCAGGTGCTTCTCCTGGTCTCCCATGTGGGTGCAGGGCCCAAGGACCTGGGCCATCCTCCACTGACATAAACACTTTTTAATTTGTTTAAATTTATGTAAAATTGAATTTTCAAAGTCCTGGACAATGTGGCAAGCTCAGCTCAGGCAGATGTTTATTTCTACAAACTTAACCCTCAAGTTCTCACAAAAGCAGGAGGGGATTAGATTTAAATCTTTGAGTTCTCTGGGGAAATAAAAGACAACTGAATCTAGTTGGGAAGGAATAACAGACCACAGATGGATTCTGTTCTCGTCACTTCAGAGTAGGTAAAGGTGAGATGTCTCTCTTACTCATTCTTCTTTCCTCCCTGGTCTGTGCATTGATAGCTTAAGAGAATATAGCCGAAAAACATTCTATGTGTCATGCCTGAGATGCAGGAGCAGTTCAAAAAATATTTAATGTATAAAAGGAGTTATTAAGGGGGAACATGAGAACAAAATGAGGACATGCATTTGACTGCCAGGCTCCCTGGAGCACAAACTGGCTGCCATATGGCCTCGAGCATTCTCATAAGGTTTTGTGGAACCTTTAGTGTGACTCCATTCTTGCTGTTTATCTTCCCCTCTGATTCCTCCAAGTCTTAGGACTTTTTCACAGAAGAGTAGATGACTGGAGAGTCCTGGGAGAGATACACAGAAATAAAGAACTGAGTGAACAAGAGAAGCAACACGGCAAAGAGATGCAAGATGGAGAACTTTCAAGGACTCTGGCTCACCTTGTTCTCCAGAAGAGCTCTTTTGATGTTTGCTGTGGAGGGGAAAAAAGTAGTACTGAGATCTTGGGTTCCCACTTAGATTTCACCCTCAGACTTTATGCTCCAGGGCATAGAACTGCTATGCTTAATGTGTGGAATTCCACTATCTTATTCTTCTGTAAAATCCCATCCCTAAATGTTGCTCGTTTTGAGGTTTCTTGAAGACGCATTCATCCTCCAAGCCCTCCACCAATATTAGTCACAATAAAGCCTTTCCTCTTTCTGATGAAATGTCCCACTTGTTACCGCCCACATGACTTTCTGTCCTTTTGACTTTTCTGACCATTGCAACATTCTGCCAGGGTTCACTTTCTTGTCATTCCTCTATGTTCTTCAGATAACTAACCAGGGGTGATTCACCCCACCAAATGGAAAGAAATTGCAGGCACAGATAAGAGATGACAGGCCCTGAGTCACATAGCAGTTAAGGTTTGGGGGATGCTCACTGATGATTTTCATTCTCTATTTTTTCCAGTTTTGCATAGTGGGCAGAATCTCCTTCCCTCCCCAGTTCCCAGGTGGAGGACACTGGAGGATCCACAAGCACATCCCCCAAATAGGAGCCAATTTGCTCATTTGATTAAGCTGGGAGAATCAGCTTTTTTTTTTTTCAGATCCATGGAAAATAAGTGCCAAACATGAAGGTTTCAAAAACAGAAGCAAGTTGAGGAAGGGAAAAGCATCTGACTAAGGTCCCTTCCCCACCAGGCATAGAAGGCTGTCCTGAGAGGGCTTCTACTGAAGAGAAGGGCTCAATTACAGAGGTAGAAATCTTCAGTCAGGTTTATTTAGGACCAAGCACACTAATTACAGAACAAGGACTCTTTGGAGACACTAGCTTTTGTTTTTGTTGTTTAAGATTACTTAAGAATAAATGGAAAGACTATGGGTCTGTAAGTCAGCAACTAGAGGGTTTGGAAGTTGAGTATCATGTGGAGACTACTGTACCCTTTGATTCTCTGGGATGTTCACAGAACAGAGAAGGAGAAGGAGAATGATAGGGTATTCAGCTACCCTGGGCACAACTCTGAGCAAGGCTAGCAGAGGACTCATTTTCAGAGGCTCAGAGGAGAGTGGCTGACCACTCTCTTGACCAGCAAATTTCCTGACCAGGAAATCAGCCCAGCAGCCACAAGACACGGGTTCCATCATAGCCAGCTGGGAGCACAGAACAAAGGCAAGCATTTGTGGTTGCATCTTCAAAGGCACTGGAGCAATAGCTAAAGGACATTGCTATAGAAACATTGGCTCAGTTCATGCAAAGCTGAATGTTAAACTAAAAGTTTTCTAGATTAGGTTGATTCTTTCAGTGACTCCTCCCATCTGATCCCCAAGACTACAGATCCTTTAAAAGATGCACTGCTGGGGCCAACATTGTGGCATAGTAGGTTAAGCTGCCGCCCATGACAGCAGTTTTCCATATGAGCATTGGTTCATGTTCTGGCAGCTCCACTTCTGATCCAGCTCCTGTTAATGCCCCTGGGAAAGCAGCAGAGGATAACACAAGGGTTTGGCCCCTGCCACCTATGTGGGAGATCTGAATGAAGCTTCTGGCCCCTGGCTTTGGCCTGGCTCAGAACCAACTGTTGATGGTCATCTCTCTTGGATCTATAGATTTCATATCAAGGGCAAGTGCATTGAAGCCGCCAAGGTACAAAATATGCCACTTTCCTGGGAAGATACATCTAACAAGAACTACTTTGCAGTTTCTCACCTGGACTGTGTGGCTGCTGGATGCTGCAGACTTGGGAATAAATCACATCCACACCTACAGAGTGCACTGCAGGGAGAAAACAATAGCTCACAGATATGCCTCGCCAAGTTCAAACCTCATACACATTTTCCAAGTCCCCTGCTTCATAAATGCATCCTTCCTGAGAACCCCAAAGTGATCCCAAGGCAATCATTGGCTTGTTGGAAATATTAGGAGTAATGAGGTTGTAGTATGAAGACCACCTATTGGTCTTTTCTTCTTCTCTCTCCCTGCTTCAACCCGAGACACAATCCCCAGTAGGAAGACTCACCATTGACATACACCGGCTGCTGCTCCTCTAAGGCTAGGAGTGGGCTGGGTGGGGTGCCCTCTTCAGGGTTTGGACTGGAAGCACCTCTGTGAGAATGTGAATTAGTGACATGATATTCTCCGGGGTTGTGAGTGACAACAGAGAGGGAAGAGTCTGGTGAGAAGGATGGTAGAAGCCAGGAAATCATAACTTTCTGCTTGGGTGTTTTAATGGCCCTTATGTAGACTATCTACTCCGATTCAGAAAATTTTTCTGTCTCTCATGTTTACCTCTTTGGAAAGCTATTAATGAGAGACTTATAAGTAATACTGCCACAGATGTGATTTTTTTCTCTTGCAAAACTTTTATAGAGTGTCACTTGCCTCTTTCTCATTACTTTATTTCTCTGCACTTTCTAATATTCTGTGTATGTCTTCCATCTCCTATAAGTCAGGGTGTGCCTTGGGAAAATAAACTATTCTATATGTATTTTCATTACTCTAAATATCTAACAAAAACTTACTCATATATTATAGGTCCTCAATAAATCCAATACTATATCCAAAAGATATTACCTAGAGTGATGTGGACCACACTAAGCCAGAAGTGGAGACATGAGTAAGTATTATAGAAAGATTCCATGTGACCAAATAGCCTTGATTCCTTTGTACAGGCAATAGTAGTAAGTAATTAAAACTGTGAATGGGGGCAGGGGATGACATTGTGCCACAGAAGGTTTAGCTGTGATTGCAATGCTGACATCCCATATTGGAGAGCTGATTCTGCCTTGCACCACATCCTGCTCCCTGCTAATGCACCTGGGAAAATAGTGGAAAATGGAACAAGAGCTTGGGCCCCCGCCACCCAAGAGGGAGATACAGATGTAGTTCCTAGTTACAGGCTTTGGCCTGGTTCGGCCTTGGCTGTTGTGGTCATTTGGTGAGTGAACCAGTAAATGGAAAATCTCTCTGTCATTCTGCCTTTCAAAAAAATAAGTAAGTCTTCAAAAAAAAATGTTAAACTGTGAATGGGAGAAGCCTTTAAAGTTGATATTTTGGCTGGGAAGAGTTTTTACCTGAATGCTTCAATGGCAGAACTTTCTCCTGAAAAGTAGATAAAGGGATATTTATTTCAGGGATAGTAACTTTAACTCTTAAAGCTTTTATATGACTTAACTATGTGTCACCAGCTGGTAAGAAATAGCATATAGAATAGTAATTAAATTATATTTTGTCCACTTTATATTTGTGCCACTATTAGTTATTATTTAAATAATACACCCCTAACCCCCACCCCCACACCACCGATTTGAAATTCCACTTCAAATGCAACCTTATGTACACTGATCACCATTTCTGGATCTTCTACTCTGTACTACTGTCTCTTTGTGGATGTACCTGCAATGCTATTTGAATTATTGTAAAATATAATATATTTCAATTGCTGATGGCTCTCATTATTTTTTATTTTTTTATTTTTTTAATTTTTTGACAGGCAGAGTGGACAGTGAGAGAGAGAGACAGAGAGAAAGGTCTTCCTTTTGCCGTTGGTTCACCCTCCAATGACCGCCGCGGCCGGCGCGCTGTGGCCGGTGCACCGCACTGATCCGATGGCAGTGGGGGTGCAGGGCCCAAGCACTTGGGCCATCCTCCACTGCACTCCCTGGCCACAGCAGAGAGCTGGCCTGGAAGAGGGGCAACCGGGACAGAATCCAGCATCCCAACCGGGACTAGAACCCCGTGTGCCAGCGCCACAAGGCGGAGGATTAGCCTAGTGAGCTGTGGCGCCGGCCTCATTTTGTTTTACTACTCTTCTATTTTAGACTTTACTTGACCATTCTGAATTTTTATGTGTTGTAATATTTGTAACACTTGGTCAATAGCAGAGGCCTCGGGGTTAGGCTTGATACTGACATACATAAGGTCCACTAGGCTATCCTCTTGTTCTATGTAGCTCTGCAGGGAGCTATAGAAGGAGAATCACATAATATCAGGAAAGAAGACCACATAGATGGATATTGGGATACCCTGGCTCAAGAAATCAATACCTCTTGTCACACCCCTAAGTGTGTGAATACAGCCTCCAGAGGTGAGCACTACAAGGGAATTCCACTGTCAGGAGTCACAGTACTTTAGTAATGCCCCCACTTTTGTTTCCCATCAACCATTTACAATCCTGGTCAGAATCTCTCCAGTTTACCAACCATGAAAAATGCTGCTGCTAACACAACCAATATTCCAACTATATTTGGTTCCCCAGAAAACCATGATACAAGGTTAATCTAAGTTTAGTTTCCTAAGGAGAAAGTGAAACTCTATAATTAGCTTGTTCAGTCTTCCAGAAAAAGAAGTAAGATTTAGAATTTTCTACCACGCCAAATTGTCATTCAAACATAAGACAAGGGATAGACATTTAATAACACAAATGAAGTCAGTGTCTGAGTCTTTCGCAATTCCCTCTTGAAGAAAGTATTTTTGAAATGAGCTTTATCTACTTTGGAAGTACTCTTGAATAATAAAAAAATTGTTAATATGTTAGTTCACAAAGAAAACTTCAAAAAATATTCAAAAGGTAGATATACTTTTATCACAATGGAATATATCATTTGTCAAAGTACGAGAAATCTAGATATGCCTAATACTTAAAAGCTTAAGGGAAATAAAGTGAGCGTGAATAAGCATATAAGCGTAAGGGAATAAATTGAATGAATGTGAATGAGCAAAGGAAGAAGGAGATAAAGTACTATTTTTTGTGGTTACTGAGTCCCCTTGTTCAATGAACTAATTATAGTAGCAAGAGTAAATAGGGGCCAGCATTGTGGCGCAGTAGGTTAATCCTCTGCCTGCGGCACGGACATCCCATATGGGCGCCGGTTCTCGTCCTGGCTGCTCCTCTTCCAGTCCACCTCTCTGCTGTGGCCTGGAAAGGCAGTAGAAGATGTCCCAAGTCCTTGGGCCCCTGAACCCATATGGGAGACCTGGAAGAAGCTCCTGGCTCCTGGCTTCAGATCGGCGCAGCTCCGGCCGTTGCGGCCATTTGGGGAATGAACCAACAGAAGGAAGACCTTTCTCTCTGTCTCTCCCTCTCACTGTCTATAACTCTACCTCTCAAATGAATAAATAAAATCTTTAAAAAAAAGAGTAAATAAATTGCTAAATAAACATCTTAGGACTAAACAAGTAACATTGAAGACCTATATAAATAAAATCTTAAAATACTGTGTCTCAAAATCTACTTAAAAGAAACAAAAAGACATAGAGTTATAGGAAAAGTCCACATTATCAAGATGTCAATTTTTCTGTAATATATATATTTATGAGATAATGAAAATATCTTCTTAAGAGAAACTGATTATATTGTTTGTAGAAAAAAAATGAATAATTAACAATATCCAGAAAATTTCTTGAAAAAATAGCTCAGTCACGTTGGAAAGCAATCCTGATGTAAGAAAAAAAAAAAGACAGACAGGGGGAGAGAGAGGGAGAGAGAAAGGGAGGGAGGGAGGGAGAAGGAGAGAGAGAGAGAGAATCAAAACAAGGTGTGAATAGCATCTGTAAGTGTCCTGAGGGCAGGAGCTCTGCTCCCCAGGGAGTCCCCTGTGACGTCTGCTCCCTATGAAGTTGAGACGTGCCACCCTCCCTGCATGTGGGTATGTTCACCAACCTGGACACTCTCCAAATCCCATTATTTAGGGGTTTTATGGAAATTCCATTACGTGTGTATCCTCATCTAAATCACTGACCATTTGTGATTAGCTTGATTCCCTCCTCAGAGCTCCTGGGATGGGGTTGAAAGTGCCAACTTTCTAATCAGAGTGGTTAGTCTTCCTGGCAACCAGCCAGAATCCTGAATCAGTGCCCAGGCCCAAAACCGTCTTGTTAGCATACATTAGCATAAAAAGACATTCTCATCACACAGAGAATTGCAAAGGTTTTAGGAGCTCTGTGTCAGGAATGAGAGACTAAGTATTATAGCAAAAAATGATTCCATTATCCATCCGTTACTCAAGAAGTTCCAAGTGTTTTAGTAGCTCTTGTGCTTAGAATCAGGGACAAAGACCAAATATACATATTTTTACTGTATCATATTATATTATAAAAGTACCATGTTGCTGAGAAAAAGATTCATTAAATAAATGATAGAGCTATATGATAAATATCAGCTACCTGACAAAAAAATTAGATTAGAATAAAAAAAATTTATTCAAGGGCCTGCGCCATGGCTCACTTGGTTAATCCTCTGCCTGCGGCGCCAGCATCCCATATGGGTGTCGGTTCTAGTCCCTGTTGCTCCTCTTCCAGTCCAGCTCTCTGCTGTAGCCTGGGAGGGCAATGGAGGATAGCCCGGGTGCTTGGGTCCCCTGCACCCATGTGGGAGACCAGGAAGAAGCACCTGGCTCCTGGCTTTGCATTGGCATAGCTCCAGCCATGGCAGCCATTTGGGGGTGAACCAATGGAAGGAAGACCTTTCTCTCTGTCTCTCTGTCTCTCTCAACTGTCTATAACTCTACCTGTCAAATAAAAAAAAATTTATTCAAAAACGTTTTTGGATGGATCTAAAATTTAGTCAAATATGAAACAATATAATTTTGAAGAAAATATGAGGGATGGGATTTTTTGTCATTTAAATGGGAAAGATTTTTCCAAGTTACAAAATCCAAAATCCATAAAAGAAAAGAAAAAGATTGTTTTTGTTAGATCATCCAATTAATGTATTGTAGTTTATATAATGTTTAGTTACTGTATCATCTTTTGATGGATTAATTTGTTCCCAACTAAGTTGTCTATTTGAAACAAAAATAGGTGCCTTATATAAAGTCACTACAAAATAGGCTGTTAATTCCAGAATCTGAACCTCGAAACCATGTCCAGAAATAGTCACCCTGGTTTTATTAGGAAATTTAGGGAAAATAGCTTTGTGTGGGACTGTGAGTGTAACTACAACCAGTGAGAAGAACGTTGTGATTGAAGGTGCAGTCTGATAAGGGCCTCCCACTTGTTCCTATCTTCCTGTCATGCAGTGCCTTGAGAGGTGACTGTGTCACTCCTCAGTAAAAAAGTAGTGACTGCTTCTCCTACTTGCATTGCAGTATGACCATGTCACTTAATTTGGCCAATGGTACAATAATAAAAATGACTCAGTAGTAAGCTTAAAAGGTGGTTTTATGTCAAAGCTTGCCCACCCGTGGGCACTGTTATGTACTGAATGTTTGCGTAATGAGAATTCATATATTTGGAGATAGGTGCTTTTATCAAGTTTAAGAGATTAAATTTAAATGAGGCTCTGAGCACGAGGCCCTGATATAAGAGGATTAGTGTCTTTATCAGAAGAGAATTCAGTCTTTTTCACTATATCTGCACAGGGAGGAGTAGTGTGAACACAGAGTAGGATGGCAGCTGCTTACAACTTCAGAGAAGAAGCTTCAGAATGAAGCCACCGCTATTCTTATCTAGGACTTCCAGCCTCCAGATCTGTGAGAAAAGTCATTTCTGGTGTTTAAGACACCCAGCCAGCAGTATTTCTTAATGGTGACCCAAGCAGACCAATATAGGCACCCGTGCTGCCTTCTGTGGGTCTAGAAGAGTTGAAGATAGCTTAGGTATGCTACGGGGTAGAGCTAAGGTAACTTTATTTTCTTATTATGTGGATGAGGAGACAGAGCAGGGTTGGATGTCAACTCCACACATAGACGGTCCTGGAAGGTCATCTCATCCCTGAAAGAGTAGGTTGGTGGTGAGGCAGGATGTTCTCGGAAGGACTGAGGGCCTGGAAAGGTATTTTGGGAATAGAGCGGTAGAGAGGGATCCAGTTTGTGCAATATCCTATCTCCTTCATCTTAGGTGGCTTAAAAACCAGAACTTCCATTGGATGACTTGGAAATACTGGCCTGAATATTTACTATATAGGAAAAAAATCAACTGATAAGTTTCTAAAATTCCTTTCACTTGATGGTAGGCAGTAACTCTAAGGAAGCATTTAATGAGACCCTAATAGTTTACACTGGGATTCTGATGTATCCCATAATTGTCCTGTATCTGATAAAGTAAATACCACTTTACTGAAATAGGTGAAATTTATGTGAGGAGACAGGAGTTTGAAGCTTTACAGGCAGGCAGATATGGATTCGGGTCTTGCTCTGCCCTCTGCTGGCCACGTAAGCATGGCAAACTATTTGACATTGTTTTGATAATATGGATAAAAACACAAACTTATCTTTTTATAGTTATAGGTAACATAGGTAAGCTTACCATGCATAATAGGTTCAATAATTTGGTCACTAGGAAATGTTTTTGAATGATAGATACTAGCAGAGATCAGAATGACAAACCACTTAGAAAAATTCCCTAAGTCTTTCATTTTAGAAACATGCTACTGAGTCATGTTAAATTATCAAAACCACAACCATTTTCAGGAAGGTGTTGGTTACTAAAGGCAGATGACTTTACACTTCCAGTAATTATTGATGAAGAATTTTTTTTCTTCATCAATTTTGAACCACCCATCTCTGAAGGACTAGAAATGCTGGGGGGAAATCTTTTAAAAGTTTGTTTAAGGGCATTGACAGGGTAATAAAAAGAAGCTTGGAAGAAGCTTCTGGCTTTGGATCAACCCAGCTCCAGCTGTTGCCATTTGGGGAGTAAACCAGTGGAAGGAAGACCTCTCTTTCTCTCTCTCTCTCTCTCTCTCTCTCTCTTTCTCTCTCTCTTTGCCTTTCCCTCTCTGTAACTCTAGCTTTTAAATAAATAAATAAACCTTTTGAAAAAAGAAAGTAATTGATAAAAGGTATTTCAGATTCATAATAACACTTGCTTTTGGAGTATGAGACAACTTGTAAATTATAAGTAATTATTTATATAAATAAATTATATAAAATAGAATTTCAACCTCCTTTTAAATATGCCTCTGGAAAAGCAAATGATACTTTTTGTTTTGATGCTGAATTTACTGCAAAAATGACTAAAGATTCTCCTGGCTTACCAGCCCACGCGAATGCTCATCAACTCTTCAAAGGATTCAGATTTGTTGCAACGTCTATTGCAGAAAAATATAAAATCACTCCTATCACAAGTGTAAATGTATTGCCAATCATTCAGATACATGTAAATGCTGCATAATTTTCATGATATGAATTAAAAGAGGATATTTGTGTTGGCTCCTACTCCATTTGCAAGCAATGCATACATAAAACAAAGACATGGAATTTGTAGTGAAGATCATTGACAAAAGTAAGTGAGATCCCTTAGAAGAAATTGAGATTCTGATGCACTTTATAGTGTTGTCCATACAATATCCAAACATTACTACTTTAAAGGATGTCTTTGATGATAGATAGATATTTTTACCTTGCTACAGATTTATTGTAAAGACCAGAGCTATTGGATCATTTTCTCAAACAAAAATGTTTCTCAGAATAGGAGGCTAGTGAATTACTCTAGGTAATAACTAAGACAGTTAACAGTTTTCATTGTCAAGGAGTTGTTATTCGTGATCTTAAACCTAGTAACATTCGATACATGGATGAATATGCCAATGCAGATTTCATTGAGATCTGTGATTTTAGGTTTGCAAAATAACTTAAGGACAAAATGAACTTCTCTTAACTCCATGCTGCAATGCATACTTTGTACAATTGATGTCCAAAAGGTTCTAACAACTTCTCTGCACACTAACTACTAAAATTCCTTTCAAATGAAGTTATTTTAATATTATTTTCTGTTTCATAAGATAATGGTTTGGGGAATCATTTTCAACCATCAAGATGCATATATAATAGTGTAATGCTAAATAATGTCAGTATTTTTAACATCAGATTCTGAAGGATGTTTAGTGAATATAAGTGAATTACTTGTGTGTGCTAGGTGTACGGTTTGCTGTATATTTTATTTTGCTTAGTTAGAGAAAGAGAGTTGATTACTGAGTATACAGTTTAGTCTAGAAGACTTGTAGCTTTGATAATTAATAAAAGAAGCTATACATATTCTCTTTTAAAAAAAAATGTCCAACTATATAGAGGTCATGATGCTGCGAGGAAATCCAGGCCACAGTGAAATGCCTTCTTCTTTCCTCTCTTTCTCCTTCTCCTTTACCTTTCCCCTTCCCCTCCTATTCTTTCTCCTCCTCCTCTTTTATTGCAAATGAAAGCTATATCAGTAATGGACAAATTCATAACAAAAAAGGGAAAACAAAACAAATAGCAGACACCAACCTGATATCTTGCGTGAACAGGAATAAAACAGCAAAGCAACAGCGGCGAAACCAAGGGCACCGAACAGTCCCCCAGCCACTCTGACTGTGAGGAGTTTTCCTCCATAGCCACCAGGCCCTGAGGGAAGAATCCAGTGTTTCAGCCTCAGGGGGTAAAAGTCTTGGGCCCTGGAGTCCTTAAACACCAGGTGGGAACGGTAGACAAATGTTCATCCAAGAAGTCATTTAAATATAATTTGTAGTTGTCAGGTTAAGGGAGAGGACAGAAGAGGCTAGATACTAAGATCGGCCTTCCTCTCCCCCCACACAGAGCAGAGAATACCCAGGACATCTCCTGTCTTTTGAAAACCCAACATGATACCAATAAACACCGGTGGGACAGAGCCATTGATGACAAAATTCTGTATCCAGGTATCATCAACCCCACCTGAGATGGAGAGTGACACCACTTCACTGCGCTGGGCCCCCAGGCCATTGTCAGCCTCACAGGAGTAGTTTCCAGAATGTGCTGCTGTCAGGGAGAGGTTGAAGGCGACTCCTCCTCCAGTGGGGGCTGAGCTGTTTCCCAAGGTGACGTCCTTGTGATAAAACCGGTACAGGATTGGGGGAGACCCTCTCAGGGCCTCACAGTGCAGCTCTACCACGTCTCCCACCATAGCCTGGGCTCCAGGGGCTCCGAGAGTGAAGAGAGGTCGGGACACTGGAACTGACAGATAAGAGGGTGGGGGTGGGGGGGCTGTCAGAGAGGATTTGTGAGACTGCAATAGACTCCCAGACTCCCACATCAGGGTCTCAGTAAAGGGTCTGGCTCTTGGGTCATTATGTATTCTTTCTATTAACTTAACTAGAAAAACCAGAGGAAATTGTCTCAATATTGTATTTAGAAATTTGGGGAGAAATGGCTAGTATTGTGGCACAGGGGTTTAAACCACTGCCTGCAATACCAGCATCCCATGTTGTACTGGTCCACTTCCTATCTAGGTTCCTGCTAATGTGCCTAGGAAAGTAGTGGATTATGGTCCAAGTACTTGGGCTTCTGCTACCCACATGGGAGACCTAGATGGAGTTCCAGGCTTCTGGCTTCAGCCTGACAAAGTCCTGGCTTTTGTGGCCATTTAGGGAGTGAATCAGTGAATGGAAGATTCTCTCTCTCTCTCTCTCTCTGGCTCTCCTTTTTTCTGTGTAACTCTGCAACTCTGCCTTTCAAAAAATGCACACATCTTTTTAAATGAAGAAATTTAGGGGATAGCATTTCTGGTGTACTGTCTGAAGATATAATCATTTGTTGATTTCATCTTATTCTTTTATTTGCACAAATATAGCTGTCTTTATATTTCTTCAGAAAAAAGAATATGTGAGTAGTTAGACTTCCAAGGGTCACCCATCTTCAAATTGCTGTGGTTCTCCACTGCACTGTTCTAAGACATCCTGGAGTTTCCCCAGGTCTCGAGGGTACTATGACATTAATTTTGGAATTTCTAGCTAAGGTAAATGAGAGCATAACTCACTGTGTACAAGGATATTCACCACCTTGCTCTGGACGGCGCCATGACCATTGCTGGCTCTACAATAGTATTCACCAGAATCACGCCCCTTCACGGATGGGATCTCCAGCTCTGCCGACAGAGAACGCTGGGTCTTCCTTCCCAGACTGGTTTCTGGGTCCTCTCTGTGCCAGGAAAATGTGATGTTCCCTGTGCCCTTAGCCACCGAGCAGAGAAGGACCAGCTTTCCTCCTTCAATCACCCGTCCCCCAGTGGCCTGGATCTCTAAGCTCACATTGGAGACAGGGATTCCTGGATGGATATAAGATAAAATGTGAGAAGCCTTACTATGGGACATCCTAGGAACACAAGGGTAGATTGATTCTACTCTTTCTTGCAAGGAGTAGGAACTTGGGGATTGTTATGTGTGCATTGTAAATATTCCTAAAGAGATGGGTATCCTGACCACTATCCTTGAAGAATGTGGATACAGGCGCTTGTATGTCCTAACCCTGATCCTGGATGATTTATCGGGTAGTGATAATTAGAGAATTTATGATGATTCATTCAGTAAATGAGATGGGAAGCTTTTAAATTGGCTTAGGCATATCACTGTGCAGACAGGTGCATTCTGTACAAAACAAAGAGGGACACCAGTACAACAGTCCTCCTCTATAAAAGGCATTTCTTCCCATTACAATTCCAATAACAATTCCCATATCATTCAATTGCAAGGTTTAACCAAATCGCAACCACTCCTCTGGTCACTCCAGTTCTTTCTGATCTCTGCTTCCTCTGACATTTCACAGGCTGTAGCACAACTCTGCCTACTAATAAGGCAATTTGTGTTGGGATCCCTGCATGTGAGCCCCATGGAACATCACTGGGGGTAGACACCTTATCCTCTGGAGTACCCAACACACAACACACCATTAGTGGTCAGTGAAGGCTTGGTCAAGGACTATTGGTTGACTAATAAAGAAGGGAAGACTTGTAGGGAGCTTAGTCCATTTTGGATTTTTATGAAGAGAAATGCCATGAGTATTTTGAAGTTTCTCCAGCTCACTTCTCACTTTCTACAAGGACAGGAGTTGTGCAAAGAAACAAAAAGATTAGCAGTCTAAGCTGAAGCCTCAGCATTATTTTCTGTTTGCCAGGCTCAGCCCCACTTTCACTTACTCTGCACGTGAATCTGGGATTGGAGGCTCTGTTTTCTGATTCTGGGAGTCACTGTCTCTGCCTCACACATGTAGGACCCGGAGTCTTCACTCCACACAGCAGGAATCTGGAGCTCTGCGGAGCTACTCCAGCCTGACCACAGGGTCTGGTGATCTCTGAAGATGCAGAAATGGAGCTGGACATGTAACTTTTGTGGAGGTAGCTGGGTCTTACAGGTCAAGGTCACTGGGCTACCCTCCAAGGGCAGGGAAGAGCTGGCTGTCAGCACAGGTCGTGGAAAAAGCTCTAGAACAGTCCCCAAAGCAGTGAGATTCAGTATTTCTGTGGAAAAGTACCTGGTGGGAAGCAACTGCAGCCAACAAGACATGAATGACCAGACACATATCACCCATCACATCTTCCTGGCACATTCAAACCACCAGACTCTAGCCCATATTTAGTCTGTGGGCAGCTTTCCCTTACCAAGTACCCACCCTGCTCTGCTACCAATCTCCTGCCCAGCTCAGTTCCTGTGATAGTGAAGATTTTACCTTGAACTTTGATTTCCACTGTTTTTGAAGTGTGTTTATTTCTCCGCCATGTTGTTAAAGTAGCACTACAGTAATAATTGCCACTGTCGCTCAAAGCTGCACTGTAGATAGAGAAGCTTGAAACATGTTTTAAAGAAAGTACTTTTATTCCATTCTTGTAGTAAGTCATAGTCTTTATTTTTGAGTCATCTTTTCCCTTGCATTTCAGAAGAATGTTATCTCCTTCAAAGACAGAAGAGGGCACCATGAGGGTCAGCCAGTCTGCAAAAGAAGGAGGAACACTGGATTTTCCAATTTTTCAGAGACTCCAGATTTCTAACCTTTTCCCTTGTTCTTGGGCAGTAGGATTGTGTCAAACGTGGCCTCTACATCTGTAGACAAGATGGAAATACCAACCCCTGCTTTAATTACTCAGGGTTGCATCCCATTCTTCCTGTTTTAACTCAACCTTCTATCACAGAATGTCCTCTCCAGGGGTTGCTCTCCTTATATTTGCCATAAATTCTCCAGTTTCTGCCCTGTCACTTTATTTGTTTGTGATGCCAGACTATGTTCTGTGTTTGTGATGTCTTCAGTATCTTTTAGGATTTCAGTTCAAGATTTTGACCTTAAGGTGAGGCACCACGTTTTATCACAAATAAAAATTTTTCCTTCCTGATATTTGTTATACAATGACTGCTAGAATTTGGATGTGTACAGCACAAAAGCAGAGGTCAATGAAATATGAAATGTAATCTCTTATAAATGACCACTGCAGAATCAGAGCCAAAATACCAGGGAGGGCTCCTGAAATTCGGAATTGTCACTTTTTTTAAAAAAAAAAATCATTTATTGTAAAGCTAGGATGAGAGAGCAAGAGAAAGAGAGAGATCTTCCAACCATTGGTTCACTCCAAAATGGCTGTAATGGCTGGGGCTGGGAAAGGTGGAAGCCAGGAGCCTGGAACTCCATCAGGGTCTCCCACATAGGTAGCAGGAGTCACCACCATGTCCCACTGCTTTTCCAGGTGTATTATCAAGGAGCTGGGTTGGAGCAGAGCAGTGAAACTTGAACTGGCACTCCTATAAGGTATACCAGGGTTGTAGATGGCAACTTAACCCTCTGTACCTTGGTGCCACCCCATGGAACTACCAATTTTGAAAAAGTATATGTTTTATTACTGGCTGGTTCAAAAAGACCAGAATTACCTACTCAATACTGGTGGGTGATCTTTTCATAAACTAATTTAGAAGACTAGAAATCGGTTGCAGTAACAATTAGCTTGAGATTGCTTTCTTTCCTTTATAGGTGGAAACTATCCCATGGGAACTCTGTCTTGAAACTTTCAATTAAACCAATTTTTTAAACTGACACATGATCATTGTAGATATTTATGGGGGCCTGATATTCTACTTTGATATATGTACATTTTATGCCATGATCTAATGAGGATAACAAGCACATCCATCACCTCAAACACTCATCATTTCTTCACAAATTCCTGGGGAGAAATGCTGTTGAGCGCAGGAGGGAAGCATTCTGAGGCATGGCTGTAGATGCTGTTGGAAAGATCATGAGGGTCATGGGTGGCCTCACGGTGAGCTTGAGCTGGTTGATTGATTCACAGTCTCAGACTCCGTGCTAAGGGGCAGAACACTCCAAGAATGAACCACAAGTGAAGAGTAGTTGGAACTAGATGGTGCTGAGTCCATGAGAGACCACCCCAAGTGGGAGCAGCAGGGAGAACTGACTGAAACCCAGAGAGGAAGTCCCTGAAGAGAAGGATATGGAGCTTGGAGGCCCCAAAGTAATAATGCAGATAGAGTGATCCATCACCAAGAGTTGCTGATTGATTTTAGTTTTCAGAATGTTTGACCTAGTGTTTGATATCCAGCTCACATTGCTTTGAATCTAAATCTGATACTTTTTAGTTGTGTAGTCTTAGAGAAAGCAGTTTACCTCTCTACCTTGGTTTTCTCACCTAGGAAGTAGAAGAGTGAAGAATATTGGCTTCTCCTTGGGCTATTGTAAGGATGCTTATCTATGAGATAAGCACTGTGCTTATACAGATGGGCCACTCAGTGAGATGTGAATATTCACAGCCTTGAAGGAGAATGTCTGCTGCAGAAGCTAATGATGGCTGGGGGAAATTAAGAGGTCATTATGACTGCACTTTAAGAGCAACCAAAATAATGGAGTTCAAGTCTGAGATGGTGTGGGCTTGGGAGGATGTCTCAAAGGAAGGGATGGAAGTGATTTGGAGATAAAATTTCTGAGTGATGTCATAGAGAACGAAAGTAAGTTGGTCCATACCTATCAGGGAACCCACGAAGACTTAGAATGGGGTTTGTTAAGGATTTTCTGTGGGGTCCGGTGCTGTGGCACAGTAGGCTAGGCCTCCATCTGCAGTGTCAGTGTCCCATATGGGGACTGGTTGGTGTCCTTGCTGCTCCTTTTCTTCGTTTTATTTTTTAAAAGATTTTATTTATTTATCTGAGAGGTAGAGTTACAGACAGTGAGAGGGAGAGACAGAGAGAAAGGTATTCTATCCGTTGGCTCACTCCCCAAATGGCCGCAAAGCCAGAGCTGCGCCGATCCAAAGCCAGGAGCCAGGTGCTTCTTCCTGGTCTCCCATGCAGGTGCAGGGGCCCAAGGACTTGGGCCATCTTCTACTGCTTTCCCATGCCACAGCAGAGAGCTGGATCCGAAGAGGAGCAGCCAGGACTAGAACTGGGACCCATATGGGATTCCGGCACCGCAGGTGGAGGATTAACCTACTGAGCCACAGCACCGGCCCCCTGGCTGCTCCTTTTCTGATCAAACTCTCTGCTATGGGCTGGGAAAGAAGTGGGAGATGGTTCAAGGTCTTGGGCCCCTGCACCTACATGGAAGACCCAGAAGAAGCTCCTGGCTCCTAGCTTCGGATAGGCTGAGCTCCTGCCATTGCAGCCATCTGGGGAGTGAGCTGTGGATGGAAGACCTTTCTCTCTGTCTCTCCCTCTGTCTGTACCTCTATCTCTCAAATAAATAAATGGAATCTTTTAAAAAAAAAAGAGTTCACTCTGGTCACTCTGATGCCCACTGCCTGGTAGTTTGGAACCCTCAGCTGCAGTGTGGCTGGCTGTATGCTGGCAGTCACTGCAGGGCAGCCACGAAGACTCTATCCTGTGATACAGTATATCTTAGTGGAGTGAAAGGAGACAGAAGTCCTGGAGAAGCAGGGCGATGAAGCCATAATGCTTCATCTTCAGGGCATTCCAGATCCTCTAGCAACCAGGACAGATGGAAAGGAAACAAGCAGTCACAATAGGCTGAGAACGGTTGTTCCTACAGAAGTGCCCAATAGGATCTTGCTGATCCTCAGATAGTATGGAAGAGAATTGCACTAGGCAGGTGTGTGTCCGGGATGAGGGGGTTGGGCGATGGAATGGAGTCAGGAAGAAGGTTAGATTGTGAACAGAGAAGCCCTTAGGTAGAAAAATGTAATAAACCACAAAGATTTAACTAGGAGTAAGATATCTATACATCTGAAGAGGTTTTTTTTTTCCTCACAAGAGTACCAGTGAAAAATGTTTTCACTAGAGCTATATGGCAAATGCAAAAGGCAAATAATATTTCTCAGAGGTTTGTCCTGTGAGGGGAAGTTTCTAAGTGGTGAACCCAATGCACGGGTGTGGTTAGAAGGAGTAAATGAGGAAGAAGACATCCTGAGAGGCTAGATGCAAAGAAAGACATCTCAGCTGCTATGCCAAGTAGCATTTTCACACTGCGCAAGGGAGTGGGAGTCTCACCAGGCCAGAGAAATTTTACTGGAGACAAGGCTAGGGTTCAGAGGCCAAGTGACTGCCCAGCTTACAGAGCAGGTAAACAGCAAAGCCATGATTTGAATCTGGGCTGTGAGGCTGTGTAACTCCTACTCTTTTCACTATATGATGCCAAACTACGTTGTCTTTTATTCTTTGCTGAATGGAGCACTTAATATTCTAAAGAACATGCAGCATTCTGAGAAAGGGAAAGCAAAAGAAAGAAAGAAAGAAAGAAAGAAAGAAAGAAAGAAAGAAAGAAAGAAAGAAAGAAGGAAGGAAGGAAGGAAGGAAGGAAGGAAAGAGGAGAGGAGAGGAGAGGAGAGGAGAGGAGAGGAGAGGAGAGGAGAGGAGAGGAGAGGAGAGGAGAGGAGAGGGAAGGGAAGGGAAGGGAAGGGAAGGGAAGGGAAGGGAAGGGAAGGGAAGGGAAGGAAAAGAAAAGAAAAAAGTCATTGCCCTTTTTCTGAACAGTTGGGATGACTCACCTCCAGGAGCCTCCCAATGTCACACTAAGACTGAGTAACAGCACTATTTCTACTCATGGTCAAAAACCACATGACTGTTAATGAAGGCTTCCTCATATTTAAACATAGGAAGTGGAGTTGGGTAAATTACAGAGTTGGGCTCACACACCTTATGTGAGACAGAATGAATACACAAGAGGAAACTTGCTCTTGAACAAGCTATAGGCAGGACCTCTGTAGGTATCCCTGGGCATCCTGATTCATTCAAGCTTGAACAGTGATCTGCTTGTCCCAACACATTTGCTTAGAGCCCAGAGTCCCCTCGACTTGGCAGTTGGCATCAGATGGGCAAGGGAACAATTCTCCCTTGCTTTAGTCTGGAATCACATGGAAATTCTGTATATAGAATAAAGTATTTTTCTCATTGGCTTCCTTTACTGAGCACAGTTTTAAACCAAAAAGAGTGAAATCTGCTTTAGATATGAAATGGTTTAAAAGTTAACACCAGTAATGAGGCCAGTGCTGTGGCATAGTGGGTAAAGCCGCCACCTGCAGTGCCCACATCCCATATGGGTGCCGGTTCAAGACCTGGCTGCTCCATTTCTGATCCAGCTCTCTGCTATGACCTGGGAAAGCAGTATAAGATGGCCCAAGTCCTTGGGCCCCTGCACCCGCATGGGAGACCTAGAAGAAGCACCTGGCTCTTGGCTTCAGATCAGTATAGCTCCAGTCAGTGTGGCCAAATGGGGAGTGAACCAGCAGAATGGAAGGCCTCTCTCTCTCTCTCTCTGCCTCTCCTCTTTCTGTAACTCTGACTTTCAAATAAATAAATAAATGTAACCCCATTAAAACAAATTCAGAATTAAATAATGGATCAAGAACAGGGGTTGGCCAAGCATGCCTAAGAGCCAGTCCATGTTCTATTTGGTCAACTAAGTGTAATTGGAATACAGCTGGCCAGACCCAGCAGCACTCCTGAGGTTGGGAGAGCTGAGTAGTGATGGAGGGATCTGAAAAGCCTGGCTATCTGTTCGCTGACTGATTCCTGATGAAGAGCTGAGATGCAGTGATGACATATGCTGATTCAACCACACATAAGTTTTCAGTTCCAAGGTTTTCCTCTATGAATAACTTGCCAGAGTTTGAAGACATTCCATATTCAGACAATATTAAGAAGTCATATTAATATAGACAGGAAGGACAGTCTCTCCAAATCATTCTACCCAGCCTTCATGCCCTTTTTCAGATGTAATTCCTCCCACTCCCCACCTTACATCTGTTTCCTTAATAAAGAGGCAAGCACCTGGGTCTTCCAGAAGGCTGAGCAGAGCCTGTTTCACCCAAGCGTGGAGGCTGTGTGACCTCAGAGCACCAGCCCAGGGGACCAGTGACATATGGACATCTGCAGCAGCCTGTGCTGGCTGGGTGACTGATAGACCAGAGAATAAAATACAAAGACAAAGGGAGCTCACCTGCCTGTTCACTGGCTGGAGCTGTGAGGGGATCAAAAGCCAGAGGTTAGCACTGAGCATTTTCTTTTACATGTAGACATTGACCTTTCTCTGATAATTAGCTCAAAAATTTCTTTCCACTATTCCCTCCTTTCTATTCCCCTAACCTCTTAGCACCAACAATTCAATCTCCCTCAAACATACTAACACTCATTCCTTGTACCAGTTGCAAACCCATGCCCTGAGCAAGAGATTGCCAGGAACAAGTCCAGTAGCTAGCTGGATGTTGGATATTTAATGCTTCTCTCCTTTATTTAATTTCCCTTCCTCTTTCCAATCCTCCTCTCTCGTGCCCAGATTTTACCAGGAGTAGATGCACTGCTGCATGGCAGTGCATTCCTGGGTCACACTGGGTTCATCAGAGCTGAATCACTCTAAGTTAATCCTTGAGCTATATTTGACCTTGGAGCCCTTTCATTCCAATAGGTAGTATTCATTTAGTGTCTGCTGGACACAAAGAAAGGGATCTTGCTCCCTCGCCGTAGCCCTCATCTCCCTCATGGCCCAAAACTGAACAGAGCAAAGGGAACAAAGGATCTCAATGCATCTTCCGAACCCAAGTCAAAGTTTGAACAATAACTTTTCATGGAGGTGAGGGAAAGTCATGATTAACAAATGAATGGTGAAGTGACCTGTCTGGAACATAAAGGATTAGGACGAGTTGTGATCTGATTTTTCTCCAGTCCATTAATTGCTTTGCATCAGCCTGAGCAGGAATCAAGAGACCTGTGCATTCCCACTGGTCCCCATGTTCTGTTAAGGCCTCGGACCTGCCAAGAACTGGGGACCTCCTCCTGCTGCTGCCTGAGTTCTAGCTGAAATGATCAAGACTCACCAAAGATGACCAGCAATGCCCACAGCAGCATGAGGACCAGTTGCAGCTCTATGAGATGTTCTCTCTGCCACCAGTTGGGAAGCCTGTGGGACAAAAGTGGACAGAAGCGTTTTTTTCTGAATAAATTTTGTATAATTAGCAAAAAGGGAAGTGAAAAAGGTCTGCAATGCTTAACCACTTACTTCTGTCCTATTAGTCACTTACTTTTGTCCTGTTAAGTGCTAACAGAATTAGAGATAATTCTCTACATGCTAGAAAAACTTCACATCTTGGCTAATGATGACAGTTCACACTGATATTTCATTTCTTCCTGTGTCAGTTCTAAGAACCTTGTGCTCAGCAAGTCCTTTAAGCCTGAAGTTAGCCCCATCTCCTTGACATAATTGGGGAACCAGTGTCCTTTTTCTTTTTTACGGATGTAACAAAATATCTCAGATTGAGTCATTTATGAACACTAAAATATTGCTAGTAGTTCTGGAGGCTGGGACTCCAAGATCAAGGCACCAGTGGATTGCATGTCTGGTAAGGGTTTGTTCCCTCTCTGTGTTCTCATGTGGTGGAAGGAGAAACAGGCTTCCTCCTGCCTCTTTTTTTTTTTTTTGGCCAGGCAGAGCTAGACAGTGAGAGAGGGAGAAACAGAGAGAAAGGTCTTCCTTCCGTTGGTTCACCCCGCAAATGGCCGCAATGGCCTACGCGCTGCAGTGATCCGAAGCCAGGAACCAGATGCTTCCTCTTGGTCTCCTGTGTGGGTGCAGGGGCCCAAGCACTTGGGCCATCCTCCACTGCCTTTCCGGGCCACAGCAGAGAGCTGCACTGGAAGAGGAGCAACCGGGACAGAATCCGGCGCCCTGACCAGGACTAGAACCTGGGGTGCCGGCACCACAGGCAGAGGATTAGCCTAGTGAGCCGTGGCGCCGGCCGCCTCTTTTGTAAAAGTACTGATGTCATTCCTGAGAGTTCCACCCGTGTGCCCTAAAGCCTTGCCTCTTTTTTTTTTTTTTTTTAAGATTTATTTATTTATTTGAAAGGCACAGTTACAGAGAGGCAGAGAGAGAGAGAGAGAGAGAGAGAGAGAGAGAGAGGTCTTCCATTCTCTGGTTCATTCCCCAAGAGGCCACAACCACAGGAGCTGGGCCGATCCGAAGCCAGGAGCCAGGAGCTTCTTCCAGGTCTCCCATGTGGATGCAGGGGCCCAAGGACTTGGGCCATCTTATACTGCTTTCCCAGGTCATCATAGCAGAGAGCTGGGTCAGAAGTGGAGCAGCCAGGATTCCCATATGGGATGTGGGCACTGCAGGCAGTGATTTTACCCGCTACACCACAGCACCAACCCCAGGCCCTATCTCTTAATATTGGGGATTAAAACTAATCATCAACATACAAATTTGAGGGGATGTCTATATCAGACAATAGCAACAAGTACACTGACCAAGATTTACATAAGTCTTGTAGTATTAGAGCTGGGATCCAAATCCAGGCAGACCAGTCACGCAGTCTGGCTCTTAAATACTGTGATGTGTTGATATAGTTATCCATGCTCTTTAGAACAGCAAAGTCATTATTTCAATGATTTAGGTTTCCTTTTTTTTATTTTTTATTTTTAACTTTTATTTAATGAATATAAATTTCCAAAGTACAGCTTATGGATTACAATGGCTTCCCCCCCATATCGTCTCTCCCACCCGCATCCCTCCCCTTTCCCACTCCCTCTCCCCTTCCATTCACATGAGGATTCATTTTCGATTCTCTTTATATACAGAAGATCAGTTTAGCATACATTAAGTAAAGATTTCAACAGTTTGCTCCCACACAAACATAAAGTGAAAAATAATAGATGATTTTTTAAATGATGATGAAATCAGATCAGACCTATTGTCATGTTTAATCCCAGTGAGAGTCAAGTTGGGAATTGATAATTTCTTCTCTTTTTTTTTTTTTAACAGAAGATCAGTTTAGTATACATTAAGTAAAGATTTCAACAGTTTGCACCCCCATAGAAACACAAAGTGAAATATACTGTTTGAGTACTCATCATAGCATTAAGTCTCAATGTACAGCACATTAAGGACAGAGATCCTACAGGAGGAGTAAGTGCACAGTGACTCCTGTTGTTGACTTTACAAATTGACACTCCTGTTTATGGCATCAGTAATCTCCCTATGCACCAGTCATGAGTTTCCAAGGCTATGGAAGCCTTTTGAGTTCACCGACTCTTATCTTGTTTAGACAAGGTCATAGTCAAAGTGGAGGTTCTCTCCTCCCTTCAGAGAAAGGTACCCCCTTCTTTGATGACCTGTTCTTTCCACTGGGATCTCACTCACAGAGATCTTTCATTTAGGTTTTTTTTTTTTTTTTTTTTTTTTTTTTTGCCAGAGTGTCTTGGCTTTCCATGCCTGAAATACTCTCATGGGCTTTTCAGCCAGATCCGAATGCCTTTAGGGCTGATTCTGAGGCCAGAGTGCTATTTAGGGCATCTGCCATTCTATGAGTCTGCTGAGTATCTCGCTTCCCATGTTGGATCACTCTCCCCTTTATTTATTCTATCAGTTAGTATTAGCAGGTACTAGATTTGTTTATGTGCTTCCTTTGACTCTTAGTCCTTTCATTATGATCAATTGTGAACTGAAATTGATCACCTGGACTGGTGAGATGGCATTGGTACATGCCACCTTGATGGGATTAAATTGGAGTCCCCTGGTATGTTTCTAACTCTACCATTTGGGGCAAGTCAGCTTGAGCATGTCCCAAATTATACATCTCTTCCCTCTCTTATTCCTACTCTTATGTTTAACAGGGATCACATTTCAGTTAAATTTCAACACTTAAGAATAACTGTGTATTAATTACAGAATTAAACCAGTCATATTAAGTAGAACAGACAAAAAAAATACTAAGAGGGATAATGTATTAAGTTGTTCATTAACAGTCAGGGCTATGCTGATCAAGTCACCATTTTTCATAGTGTCCCTTTCACTTCAACAAGTTTCCTTTTTGGTGTTCAGTCAGTTGTCACCGATCAGGGAGAACATATGGTATCTGTCCCTTTGGGACTGGCTTATTTCACTCAGCATGATGTGTTCCAGATTCCTCCATGTTGTTGCAAATGACTGGATTTCATTGTTTCTTACTGCAGTATAGTATTCTAAAGAGTACATATCCCATAATTTCTTTATCCAGTCTACCGTTGATGGGCATTTAGGTTGGTTCCAGGTCTTGGCTATTGTGAATTGAGCTGCAATAAACATTAGGGTGCAGACCGCTTTTTGTTTGCCCATTTAAATTCCTTTGGGTAAATTCCAAGGAGTGGGATGGCTGGGTCGAACGGTAGGGTTATCTTCAGGTTTCTGAGGAATCTCCAGACTGACTTCCATAGTGGCTTGACCAGTTTGCATTCCCACCAACAGTGGGTTAGTGTCCCTTTTTCCCCACATCCTCACCAGCATCTGTTGTTGGTAGATTTCTGCATGTGAGCCATTCTAACTGGGGTGAGGTGAAACCTCATTGTGGTTTTGATTTGCATTTCCCTGATTGCTAATGACCTTGAACATTTTTTCATGTGCCTGTTGGCCATTTGGATTTCCTCTTTTGAAAAATGTCTATTGAGGTCCTTGGCCCATCTCTTAAGTGGGTTGTTTATTTATGTCAAAGAGCTCCTGGTGGAGCGACCAGGAGAGGGCTTCAACAGAGGCATACTTGAAGGGGCTGGTGGTAGTGGTTTTTTTTTTTTTTTTTTTTTTTTTGTTTAGACTGTGTTATATAGAGAACGGGAGAAAGAGACAGTGAGAGAGAGAGACAGAGAGAAAGGTCTTCCTTTGCCATTGGTTCACCCTCCAATGGCCACTGCGGCCGGCGTGCTGCGCTGATCCGAAGCCAGGAGCCAGGTGCTTCTCCTGGTCTCATATGTGGGTGCAGGGCCCAAGCACTTGGGCCATCCTCCACTGCACTCCTGGGCCACAGCAGAGAGCTGGCCTGGAAGAGGGGCAACCAGGACAGAATCCGGCACCCCGACTGGGACTAGAACCTGGGGTGCTGGCACCACAGGCAGAGGATTAGCTTATTGAGCCGCGGCGCCGGCCGGTAGTGGGGTTTTTAAGCACAATTTTTTGGGGAAAAAAACCTTGACAATCAGCTTGATGTTCAGTTACAAGGCAAGGACAAAACTCATCAAAAGACATGATCTGTAATCTTATTTTCCCTTTTTGGCTTGCTCACGATAAGACAAAAATGCCGTCTGAAGCCTGAATAGGTAACTTGTTCTCACAGTAAGCTGTGAGCTCAGGAGGATGGAATCACCATCCCATTACGATTCTCATGTTAAGGTTGCAAGCTCTCAAGGAGTAGGGCAAGTGCTTTTCACCTTGCTAAAGATAACTTTTGGGGAAGCAAGCATTTTGCACCCTCAATTTCCACCAGGATCAACCTGACTCCTCACATTCCCTCCCCAGAAATGGACCCTAGCTTCTGTTTTGGGGTATGGGGCAATGTCTACTCTGGCTTCTTTAGACTGAGTAGGGATGGAGTAGGGACTGGCAGTCAAGACAGAATTCCAGGAGGAGGTGGCCTCTCAAGGGGGACGCAGTGCCAGCTTGCAGAAACTGCTCCATCTGAAGTTTCATGTGCATGGCCATCTAGAATTTCACTGTTTCAAGTCTGGAGAAAATTAATCTAACAAGCAGATTAAATTCACAGGGTCTAAAACAATGGACAGAGTCATTATTAGAGGACCTAAGAAAGTTTACTCACTGAAAGAAAAATAGAAACTGATGAAGGGAGAGGAAGTTGATAATAATCAGATGGGCATTAGAAGTTGGCCAGGTATATATGGGGGTCCAGACATATCTGTCTCTTCACATGGGGTACTGGAAGAGACATCATAAGGGAGGTGTGAACCTCCTTAGGGAAGGTACCCTATTGACTTCCATTACCTAGCTAGCCTGGAGGGGAGCTGGCCTGAAGGTAGGTGGCATCTCTAAAACGAAATTTACAGTTCTATCTGCAATATTACTGACCCTAAATTTTCCCCCAAAATTGTGCTTAAAAACCCCTCAACAGACTTTGGAAGCTGGGCAGAGTGAAGCACTTTTCAGCTTAGATCCCGAAG